CCCCCCAGCTCTAAAAGCTTTCTGATGACTAAACTATGACAGATGGGCCAACTACCTGATCTAGTGAAATAAAATCCTAGTTTTAACAGTGTTTAAGAACTGGGTGGGCACTTTGCTTAGGCTTTTGGGAGAATCCTCTGCCTTTTCCAGTGAACAGCCTAATAGCCTCCAGCTTTTCTAAATGGACAGGAGGGAGAAAGAGAAAAAAAAACATAAAACACAAAAAGTGTGCACAGTTTTCAGACGGCAGCAGTGGTGGCCCATCAATACAGGCGAACTAGGCGGTCGCCCAGGGCACCAAGATAAACCGCCATTGAGGGCTTTGGAGGCGGGGGAGCCAATCGCGCATTTCGCCTCGGGCGCCAGTTGCCGGCAGCTCATCTAGGGCTGCTCCTGGACGGCAGCGATCACTCAGTCCATCAGATGTTCACAAGTAAGAACTAGTTTAAACTACCAGATAGAGCTGTAGAGGCAGGCCTTCCCCCGCCCTCAACCCTTCTAAAATAGGTCACTGGAGACAAGAAAGAAAGCAACAAACTTTCTGGACCATTCTGTCTGAGCCACAGAAAGTCTAGGCCCTCAAAACCCCACTCCTGGAAACAGATGAGGTATTTATTTTTCACATACAATGCGCTAAGCATTCAATCAGGCCTGGAGGATACATTAAATTAGAAGTTGTGGAAAGTTTCCCTTTAAAGCCTCCAGATCTCTCGTGATTGATGGAGTCCTCCACCCACCTAGCTCCTGCCCCCACCTCACCATCATGGCTGTTTACTGCTTCAGAAAACAAAACATAAAAACAGTTGGAAGGTGGCTGGTGAAGCATCCTTCCCTTCATTTTCCTTTTCATTTCATCAAAAGCCCAGAAATTAATGAAGACAGGATGTGCTAATCTCTGTAGTAATGCTGTGATCAACGGAGCAGCTCAGAGAATAGAGGAGGACAGATGTTCAGAAACACCCACCTTTGTAATTGGATTTTCAATGTCACAACATGATAGACATCTTGTAGCATGTCGGCTACTGTCGCATCTGGTGCATCAGTCACGTAACTGAGGGGGAGAGGGTTCCACCTCCCAAGTTTGATTATTCCTGGAAAGAAAAATATAATACCCATCTATGCGCTGTTTATGAAACCTTTTGATTATTTGGTTGGTCACGGTGTTCAGAACCTACCTTGAGATTTACTGCAATCCTGAAAACAAAGCTATTTCTCTTTCACACTGGAGCCGAACTAAGTGGAGGGGAAGGAATATATTTTGAATTGTAAACAGAATGCTGTTATATATTTGCCTTTATTGAATTATGATAGAGAAGCAGCGGATCCATCTCCCCACACAGTATTACCTTTCCTCATCCCAGTAAAGCCTGCACTTTCTAAGTTGGGACAAGCTTTAAATACCCTGTACTCCTGATTTCAAAGCCTGCACAACCCTTATGTAAATAAAAGCTTTGGTTTTGAATAGAAGAAGAAAATTCCTGTGTGTGGGCTCAGCACACAGTTACATCCTGACTGTGGTGTGATTCCCAGTACAAATAGCATTTGAAATCGATGAAGTAGTTAGAGTTCACTCCCAGATACGCATTTCACCAGGCAGATGGTTGCTTTCTTTGGCAAAAAGCAACAGCGCTGTACTTAACCACAGATTGAAAATAGCACAGCTGTCTTATAGGTCCCTGTTTATACCTCTGCTCCTTCGGAAACAGCAGCAACACCCTTTCTAGATAGGCTTGTTGCAAGAAATCATAAATTTGCATATGATAGTGTAAACTCTTTAGTACAGGAACCTTCCCTTGTTTTAAATGTTAATATAGTGCCCTGCATATCCTGGGCACAATCAGAAGCAACTACAAATTATTAATAAGCATAGACTTCCAGGAAAGCACAGAAAACAGAGAGACTTTAGGAATATAATGAGGCACAGTGCTGCCTTTGAAGGGTACACTGCATAGCGGGCAGATGTTGCACTATCACAACTGTGGTTTTGCTTTGCTCCATCTCCCCAGCGGTTACTAGCTTCCTCTTTCTTTAATCCACTTATCTCTGGGCCCAGTCCTTCATGGTACCAAAACACTTTTGCTCCCACTTAAATTACCAGCACTTGGAACCTGGCCTTTGGCCCATTCACACACAGTCAAAGCTCCAGAAGACATCAACAAGGCAGTCTGCAAATCTTGTCAAAAAGCAAGCACAATCCAGACTAACAAATCTTGACACCGCACAATCCAGACTAACAAGAAAATGTATCAGTTAACTTCAGGGGTGATATCAAGATGCTAAAACTAACACAGTTCCCCACATGCATCATTTTACCAATGCTGATGCTAACTTCAAAGTTTAGATTTGGCTATCTAAAGATGAAAGCTTCTATACAAGCGGTTATGAAATGGCTAGAGATGTAAAATTTCGATTAATTGGCTAATCGAATAGTCAATGCAGTTTGCATCGACTATTTGATTAGTCAATAAGGACGCCTCTGCTGTTGCTACATTTCAAAAGTGAAAGCACTGCAGGGAGCATGGGGCCAGCAGGGGACTCAAGCAGTCCCTCGCTGACCCTGGGCTCCACACAGCGCTGTCACTTTGAAGCACCCTCTCCTCTTCCTTCCTCCCCTTCTCCCACCCTTTCTGCCTCTTTCTGATAGAAGCAGCAAGTGGGGAGAGGGAAAGCGACTAGTCGACTAGCGTGTCGACTATCCGATAAGCAATTGCTTATCGGATAGCCGACTAGTTGTTCACATCCCTAGAAATGCCAAAGCATTGGTTTTGTGAAAATGGTGGCAGAGGGGTCTTTCTTATTGCACAAGACAGCCCTAATACCATAGGGATATTTTTCTATTTCTGCATCACACTGGTAGGATAATGTTGGTTCAAGCTCTCTCCCCGCTTGTCTCTCCCTATTTCAATATGTGCATATAGATTTCTTGGGAGATGTATCTGAAATTGGTTCACAAAATAGTTCATTACTATGTATGGTCACGGGGAGGTAGGCTGGTGTAGATCTGGGTTATGGTTGCTAGTTTGACGTTTCAATGTGGTTCTCTGGCATAGACTCAGCAGCATTTCAAGAGTAGGTTATGAAGCTTTGGGTCAGAGTAAAGGTCCAAGACAAAGTTAATAACTATTGCTTGATATTCAGTGCCTGCAAGTGGGGCATCCGCAGAACAAAAACATTTAAATGATGCACTGTTTCAGTATTAAGATTTAACAATCTGGTGCTAAATATGCTACAGTATAAATAGTGCCTGGACTCGAATCCAGGAAAGTAACACACAGCACTCATTCACAACTGAAATAGATGTCTTCAGAGCTAGCTCCCCAAGCCAGATTCCATTTGCCAAGAAAAGCTGTTTTTCTGAAGGGGATAGTTTACTTAACGTTATCTCTGGTGACAATGAGAATGCACATAGTACAGCATATATCAGTCATGAAATGAGCATTAAGGGTCCACTGAATGGAACACATGCTATTGAATCACTTTAGTCGCCAACTTTCCTTCTACAATGTAATAATTTAATGCCAAATCACCTGAAAAAGTCAGAAATCTTCTTCGAATCTTCCTATCAGCTTCATAGAACACTAGGCTTCCTGCTTTTAATCACTCCAAGCTTCCATATAACTGAAAAAAGAGGCATCGTATGTGCTCATAAACAGGCATGTTAAATTGCATGCAATCTGGTAACTGTGTAGCCAACAAATATTTTGTCGGTTACACAGTTATCCAATAAGTGACTTTGCATTGAAAGTAGCATGGAAGCTGGCGGGCAAGCAGGCTGCCTCAGTCCCAGCTTGCGCCAGGTCCTGGAAGCTATCCACGCTGTGGCTCTGCAAGAAAAGTGATTAAGGAACCGGCAAGCAAGCCGCCTGCCTGCCCACCAGCTCCTAAACTACTTTTCTTGCAGAGCTGTAGTGGGGGGAGAGGGGATGCATGTAGCTGGGAGCATTAACTGATAAGCATCCGCTTACCAGTTCATTGTTTAACTAGATACACTATTACATTCCTTCTCATACGTCACCTTTATACTGGTCCCATTTTACAAAAGGCTTTATTTTTCATTCAACGACAGGAAGTTCTGTGAGAGAACACCATCTCTAATGGTACGTCTAGACTACAAGCCTGTTTCAAAAGAGATCATCTAGACAGCAAAAAGACTTTCGAAAAAGCAATCCGCTTTCTTGAAAGAGAGCACCCAGCCAATCTGGATGCTCTCTTTCGAAAAAGCCCTGTTTGCGTTCAAGAACACCTTTTTTCAAAAGAGCTCTTTCAAAAAAAGGCGCTCTTCCTCGTAAAATGAGGTTAATGGCTGTCAAAAAAACCACCCCATTCTTTTGATTTAATTTCGAAAGACCGCGACGGCAGTCTAGACGCAGATGACTTTTTTTTTTTTTCAAAGAAAGGCCACTTTTTTCGAAAAAACTCTGTAGTCTAGACATAACCTAAGTGTTTGTCTCTCTCCATCACCGCCAACACCAAAGACACCAGAGCTAGCAAGGAGTTGTCCCAACCTGGAAAAGTTCAAAGCAAAACCACAGGCCAAGCATCATGGGAAATACTATATAAAATCACTTTACTGGAAATGTCTGCTACTACTGGCAGTTAGGCAGATTATTTTATCCTCTACAATTTGAATGGAAACTGTTTTGGCTGGAATTAGACAAACACAGATGTTATCATAATGCCTCTGCATGTTAACACCTACTGCGAATCCTTTACACCTTGTTGCAACACCGCTGATGCACACTATTTTTCAGTGAGTGTGATATGACAGGTGATTTTTTTTTAAATGTTGTTAGCCCCTCAGTTAGCCAGGACTTCGATCCAGCACTTCAGCAGGTTGCACAGGTGGTTTTATTCATGACACTCTAGCTGTTTTTAAGAAACCTGTTGGGCTGCAAATAGGATGTTCGTACCAGTTTATTTCAGCATGCCTGTTCTCTTCCCCCCCAAATAACTCTCCCTCAGGATTTGAGCAATACATACAGTCAGCTTAGCAAAAGGAGGTTCCCTTCTCATATGTTACCACTCTCAAAGGCTACGTCTACACTGGCTTGATTTTCCGGAAATGCTTTTAATGGAAAAGTTTTCCGTTAAAAGCATTTTCGGAAAAGCACGTCTAGATTGGCAGGACGCTTTTCCGGAAAAGCACTTTTTCCGGAAAAGCGTCCGTGGCCAATCTAGACGTGCTTTTCCACAAAAAAGCCCCGATCGTCATTTTCGCGATTGGGGCTTTTTTGAGGAAAACACTACTGTGCTGTCTACACTGGCCCTTTTCCGGAACAGTTTTCTGGAAAAAGACTTTTGCCTGAACGGGAGCAGCATAGTTTTTCCAGAAAAGCACTGATGAGTTTACATTAGTTCGTCAGTGCTTTTCCGGAAATTCAAGCAGCCAGTGTAGACAGCTGGCAAGTTTTTCCGGAAAAGCGGCTGATTTTCTGGAATAACTTGCCAGTGTAGACACAGCCAAAGTGTTTTTAATGCGACACTCATCATGAGAGGTGAATGTCGGGATACCTAGGCATCCTCTCCTTAGATGCACACTTTAATGGCCTGATTTCCCATTTTTAAAGTTGAGGTCTTTAAATTATGCACCTTCACTCACAGGGTATAATGTTTTTATCTTATACCGAGTCCAAAGCATGTCTATACAGCAATTTCACCCCTGTGGCTGACTCGGGCTCATGAGCTTGTGCTCAAAACTGTAAAATTTCAGTACGGATGTTTGGGCTCAGGCTGGAGACCAGCTCTGGAGACCCAACTCTGGAGAGGAGGGGTTCATGGACAGGGCTCCAGCCTCAGCTTGAATGTCACAGCCTCGCAGCCTGAAGCCTTCTAGTTCACATGCACCAGCCAGGTATATGTCTAATTGCAGCGTAGCCATCTCCTACGAGACTCGGTGAGAGCAAGAGATCAGAGGCACTTTATAAATGATTGCTGAATAAATACTCTATTTTAAACAGGAACGACATTCCTTCTTCCTGAAAACTGTTTGAGGAAGAGATGCAGCAGAACTCTCAAGACATCTGTAGGCAGATCCTTTTACGACTTCATAACCTGTTTCCATTAACTAATTCAATCACTCATTCACAAGCCA